GCACACTCGCGTAGCGAAACAATATTTTTTCTCTCTCTCTCTCTCCTCTCTCTCCCTCTCTTCTCTCTTTCTCTCTCCCTGAGACCGCAGGCTCAGTGTAAGCTTTGATCCTGAGGACACAAATCTGGTTTTAAATTCCGAACAGATCCACAGACTACTGCACTCGTTACCCAAGCATGCTATGACTGCACAACTGTTCAAGTTACATCCTGAAACCGCATCCATTCCCACACTGAGCAGGAGGCAAAAATCTAAATGATATCTCACATTCTAAATATAAGCATATGGGGTGTTGCTTTACCAAATGTGCTTCAGTCCTTAAACTCAGAGCATGGTGAGATGGCAAAGATGATGATGGGGGTGATAATGATAGTCAGTGAAGATTGTGATAGTGGCAGTAGTGACAAAACTGGTGATGATGATGATGTTGGTGGTGGTAATAAAGACTCTGCTGGCAATGATAGTTGTGGTGGTGGTGATGGTGGTGATCCTGACAGTGTTGAGGATGTTAGTGTGGTAATGATAGTGGTAATGTTGATACTGTTAGTGATGATAATGGTAGTATTGGTGGTGGTGATGATGATGATGGTAATGATGACAGAGACTGATTTAGATTATGTTATACTGCTAGTGATGATAGATGTGATGGTGGTAATCATGATAGTGTTCATGTTGATGTGGTAATGATAGTGGTTATGATAATACTTTTGGTTATGATGATAGGTGCATTGATTTTGATAGCACTGGTGCTGATGATGATGGTAATAATGATAGTGACTGATTATGTTGACGGTGGTAATGATAGTGGTGGTGGTAATGAAGATACTGCTGGTGATGATGATAGTTGTGGTGGTGATGATGGTGGTAATGATGGTGCAGATGCAAATGATGGTGGTGCTAGTGATAATGTTTAAAAAACATTCTGAATACTGGGGAGCTTGTCTGGAGGCATGTTATTTACATATTTAATTAAACTTTGTAAACACTGTTTTAAGAAATGCTATATAAATAAAGCTTTACTTATTAGTGCTGTTGTGAAGGGGATAATGGTAATCAAGATTGAGATGATGACAGTGTGAACATGATGGTCATGATGCCAATTGATTATATTGATGAATAAGGCTGATTGTGATTAATTAAAACATGAAATATATATAAATATATATTCCTCAGCCCTCAGGGGATCCACCTCTGAGTAAACGTGCATGCTCAACAGATTGCCTATGGTTTTTAATTAAGAATCATTCACTACTTAATATGATTAACATTTGGGCTGGGGCAGAAGGAGAACAGAAACCAAATAAACCTCATGAGTGATGCTGACCTGGGCCTTGAAATGTTGACTGCGAAGGTGGATGAGGCAGAAGTGAACCGTATTGATTAACACACACAATGCTGAACTGCAGCTTTCAAGAAAAGCATTTCTGCATTAATGAAGGAACAGAGATTTCTCGGCATGTGGGACTAGTCCACGCTGTCGTGCTCTCCTGACGTCTCGTCAGAACCGCATCGCCTCAGCAGCATGGTTCCTGCGCTTGATGGAGCCACGTCGAGCTGCGTTTCTCATGGCCTGTTTTAATGATGCTCAGATGATGAGACTCGCAGGCTGGGTGGCAGCTTTTCGCTCCCAGTCTGATGCAGACGCAAATTGCGCCTGTCTTGCCGTTATTATCCTGCTGTGCACTGCACCCAGGTAGACATGGCAGGTGAAAAGAAACACTAGTTAACTGGCAGGGGGAATAAGTTCCTGCACCATGTCTTGCTGTATGTGTTCTGTTTGACTTAGAATAGTACAGATAGATTAATAAATTCATACAGCAATGGGGCAGGTGGTATTACCAAATTTGTACATCATGCTATGAGAAACTAAGCTTTTTTTCCTGGACATTCAAAGAAAAATGGTGTGTATACTGAAAAACGGTGTACATATGTAATAACTATGACCTTTTTAACCTTTGTTGTTCTATTGTGACTATTTGGATAAATCCTTCAATTAAATACATTATAAGGGACAGATATACATCCTCTCATTTGGTTTTAAATATTGTCAACTATTAAGTTCACTACTATGAATGGGAGACTACCATGTCCACTACTATAAATGGTACATACTGTAGCGTCTCGACCAATCTGACACACTAATTTTAATTTGATTTAACAAATCAATTATTCATTAGGTTAACAAATCGTCACAGTCCCCTCACTCAATTAACTGGATGCCAGGATGTCTGCTGAACACCAGGCGCTCTGGTCACCATGACAACTAATCATGATATCACTGGTTTTATGACCCCCCAGGAATGTGAGAAGGATAGCCCACTCTTGTCCCAAGGAAAAGCAGAGTAGAAATGGACTGTGTTCTAGTTAATTCATAGAAAAAACGTTATTTGAATGAACACACATATTTCTTCAGGCCATTGAGTATATTATTGTCATTGTGTATTTTGTCTTTGATATTCTTAGACTATTTTAGTATGCTTGTGAGGGGACCCATTCTTGATCCTCCCTTTTCACTATATGTAATCTTACCTTGTTTAGTATCTATGAATTTGCCTTCTTATGATCGAAACAAGCGTGTATATTATATATTGGTACATAGGCAATATATATTAGGGCCCTGAGAATCGTTAATAATTTCGATTTAAGTCCATTTGCAAATTACCATGCTTAGAGAACAAAGGGGTCGTAAACCCTCCAGCAATTGCCACCTCCCGCTCGGAAATTCCATTTTGCTCATTGGACAAGCCCATCTTGAAAGGCGGAGATCTTCTCCGACCTTAAAGGCCCGGCTCCAGGGACCCGCCTCAGTCGGTGGTTCGGTCAGAAGCAAAGATGAAGATGTGAGAAACGCTTCAGGATACCAAAGCATCTGTGCCAGGCCTTTTCTTCGGCCTAGTCCTTTCCATTCATCAAGTGACACTGACTCAAACTGGTTCTTTTCATCGACCCGAATTCAGCAAAGATCTACGGGAAGCTTTAAGATTTGCATCAGGAATCTCTTTCAGACCGCCGAGACTCGCTAAGTTTCAAACTTAGTCTTATTAATTGATACATTAAGTATCAGTTACACCTTTTTACAAAGGTGTGTTTGAACTCAGTATCTGACGTATCCCTGAAGGCTTTGATCTGTTGAATATACATGCAAAGTGTTCCATAAAATCCATTCTTTATGCCTCTTTCTATGCTGAGTTAAACTTTAACCCTTTCCTATACCAACTGTATGTGTGTGTGTGTGTGTATGTGTATGTTAGACTGGCTTAATGTGTTTATGTAGTATGTTGGACTAGTTTAAGTGTTTATG